TGTGTGGATTAACCAGCAGATTTGCCCCGTGTGATAACGTCCATAGTATGTGTACATAGTATGTACAATGTACACATAGTATGTGATCGATGCTTATGATGTTCTTGATGACATTACTAGTGACTCTGGTAACATTGCCAGGAACTGCGCTCATGAGATCAGAAATTCTCAGGTTTTAGTCCTGAAATCTCAAGGTCTGGGATGGCCCTAATGTGTGTCAACCCTAGCAGGGATCCAGCAGAAATCCAGCATTGAATCCTAGTCCATATTGCCTGACCAACGGAGCTCCTTTCAGCAATGTGGCTGGACTTGCAACTGGATTTAGGCTCAGGTATGTTTCTATAATTTTTCATCTATATTAGTGATTCCCAAATGTTGGTCCTCCAGTTGTCTTGGACTTCAGTTCCCAGAATTCCTGACTGTTGATCAAACTGGGTAGGGTTTCTGGTTGTTGGAGTCCAGATCACCTGGTAGACCAAAGTTTGGGAATCATTGATCTATATGCTCACACCAAGTATTGCAGTTGGCCCTCCGTATCCACAGATTCTCCATCCACGGAGTCAACTATTTATTCAACATGGCAAGTTTCTTCAGAGCTGGGTTGCCATTGCTATCCTCTGAGCTGTGGATGGTTGAACCATAGTTCAAAAATATTCGCATACACATACGTACAAGTCCAAAATGCAAACCTTGATTTTGCCATTTCATATAAGGGATGCCATTTTACTACACCATTGTATATAATGAGACTTGAGCATCCATGGGTTTTGGTATCCATAGGTGCATGTGTCCTGGAACCAAATTAAGATAGCGGATACCATGGTCCCACTATATTTATAAACTTTCAAGTCTAGCTTTTTTTTGCCCCCAAAAGGTGGTCACACAACTACAGATCTTCTTTGCAAGCTTTGACATATAAGAAAGCATATGCTACTGGCATTTTTTTGTGGCCAGCAGAGGGCACAGACACACTGCAAGCAAAGGTAATTTAAAGGGACTTCAAGCAGACCTGGAATGGAAAGCTCAGTCATAGAATGTTTGGGAAATGATCTATACCAATAAATAAATAAATAAATAAGCCCCCCCCCCTAAAAAAAAAGCCTCAAAGATTATGTTTTAGCAATGTAGTACTGAAGATCCCAAAGGGGCATTTCTGAGTTTTCAGAACATTTTAAAATTGTGCTTAAAATGGGTATATCGACATTATAGAAGACAAGGGCAAGTAAGTCCCTTCTGAACAAATTCTGCCAAGAAAACTCAATGACAGGTTCACCTTAGGGTTGCCATAGGTCAGATATGACTTGAAGGCATACAACAACATTACCTATTGTTTAAGGTGGTGCTTCTCAGTTGGAGGGCAAGATGCCAGACATTGTTGAACTTCAGTCCCAAGGCCAATGGTTAACTTCAACAATAACTGGATCTCAACCTACAGATGAGAGCCACCATGCTCTAAAGCTCTTTGTTTGTTGTTGTGTGCCTTCAAGTCATTTCTGACTTATGGCGACCCTAAGGCGACCCTATCACAAGGTTTTCTTGGCAAGTTTCTTCAGAGGCAGGTTGCCATCCTCTGAGCCTGTGAGTGTGTGACTTGCCCAGGTTCACCCAGTGGGTTTACATGGCTGAGCTAGGATTCGAATCCTGGACTCCAAAGTCCAAGTCCAATGCTCAAGTCCAAGTCCAATGCTCAAGTCCACTACACCACACTGGCTCTTGTAATTTGAAATAAAGCCAATGACCTGGATCCAATCCTGTACTTCAGTGGATGGAAACAGTTCCACGAACAGGACCAGGGAGGAGGGAGTCTGCCTCTTTTCCACTACACCTTTTCCCTTTCACACTACATAGTTATAGCACTATTGTTCCACTTTAGGTACCATGGCTGCATTCTATGGGATCCTGGGATTTGCAGTTTAGGAAAAGATAGCATTCTCAGCCAGAGCTCTCGTGCTTCACCAGGCTACTCCATCCTCACCCCCACCCCCAGGATCCCATA